CATTTGATAAATAGACGGTATCACGTGTGGGAGGTTCTTCCTTGGAGTCCAAAATTCGATGCAAATTCTCTCGCAGACCATCAACACTGTCTTCCACCGCTGCATCACAGGATAGAGCTGTACAGATCTGAAGGATACGTATAAGTCCTTAGTTATTTTTCTCAGTCAGATGTTATCCGCTAAGTTTTAGTTTTATCTTTCATTGGCACACCTTAAGTGAAAAAATAAAAGTAAAATTTAGAATAGACAAACGAAAAAAAAATATTTATGATCAATGGCCAAATAAAATAAGGTTTATAATCTTAGTGCAATATCATATACTTTTTGATTGCACTCACCACTTTCACCAAAGACGAAGCTGAGTAATGTGTCACTCTTTGGCCAGTCAATTTCGAAACAACTCGGAACAGTCTGTGTCCAATGTGAGTTCTAACAAGATCATCACGGAAGGCGATAGCCTTTTCCTCATCAAAGTCCTAGGAAAAAGAATATCCGCTTCATGAAAATGAAAGAATAAAATTGATAAGCAAATTTACCTCTTTAGTCTGTTGTTGCATGTATAATGTCACATAGCCGACTATGATTTTACGAAATTCTTCTCGCACCGCTCCTTCGTTCGGTAGATCATCAGCTAATCGCCAGTGATGCTGTATGAGAGGAAAATAATGACAATTCTTATTGTTAAGAAATCAGCTCACCAGTGTCTCCACTTTGGGTTGGGATGCTTCCGAAATCTCACCATTTTCAGATGTGTTTTCAACACTCTCACTGCTGACGCCTTAGATTATGGATAAATTAACCCAAAAAAATGAAAGTAATAAACCAGTAGAAAGTAGAGAATGAGATAGTAAAAATAACTTTAGCATTTTAGAAAAGTCAGAGAATTTTATTTGAAAACCTCCTTTGCCCCCAATGATAAGGGCATAGTCCAGAACGACACTGCGCTTACCAGTGTGATTGTAGCCATTATACCACAGTAACGTGGTCCATCGATGTGTAGGTGTCATGTGCAAAGCAGCGAATAGCGGATTCTGCCCAAGCGATTGTAGAAGTAGTTCTGTGAACGCGGTACCTTGTTCATGTTCACGTTTACCAGTATCCAATACCAGTTTTGTTGGTGTCGCATGTATGATCTAAATCAGAAATCTTCACGATGTAGAAGCCAGAAACCGACAAGAGATTTCTTTACCTTTGCTCCTAACCGTTCACACTCAGCCGCTAAAAGTAGCACTAACTTTCTCTCTAGAATGCTTACGCTTCTGGTGATAGCCGGGTCAAAGAGCAAGGAATCTGGTGAGTGCAACCATCTAAAGA